TTTTTTTTTTTTTTTTTTCAAAACAAGGAAATGGACCTAATGGGAAACGGAGTGGACTGAATTCATCCGGCTCAAAACAAGAACCAGTGGCGACTCTCGTGAACACAGTAACAAGTCTTTGGGTTCCATCAAGGAAGATCAATTTCTTGGCTAGCTGAGAGACTACCAGCCTTTCAAGAATTGCTCTGTTCGATACAATTAGGGTCAAGTGTTCTGGTTGTCTGGATGTAAGCACGAATAACATAGAAACCCGAGTTTCAGTGCATGCTTTGCATGTTTTCCCAACACACAGCATTACACCCATGTACCACACGGCTCACCAAGTGGCCAACCCTGCCACAGGGAAACTTGTGTACAACGCTAATTATCACACTGCCTTAAAGTCAACAATTCAAATCGTTACATGTGTTAAGAAGCGCAATTCTCGCCTCTCAACAGACTTCCGCGCCGCGACAGCCGGGTTCAAGCCTGAAGTATGTGACAGTTCATCCTGTATTTCTGTTATTCTCTGCAATGCTGTTTCCAGTCTTCCGCGCCGCAACAGCCGAGTTCAAGCCTGAAGTACGTGACAGTTCATCCTGTATTTCTGTTATTCTCTGCAATGCTGTTTCCAGTCTTCCGCGCCGCAACAGCCGAGTTCAAGCCTGAAGTACGTGACAGTTCATCCTGTATTTCTGTTATTCTCTGCAATGCTGTTTCCAGTCTTCCGCGCCGCAACAGCCGAGTTCAAGCCTGAAGTACGTGACAGTTCATCCTGTATTTCTGTTATTCTCTGCAATGCTGTTTCCAGTCTTCCGCGCCGCAACAGCCGAGTTCAAGCCTGAAGTACGTGACAGTTCATCCTGTATTTCTGTTATTCTCTGCAATGCTGTTTCCAGTCTTCCGCGCCGCAACAGCCGAGTTCAAGCCTGAAGTACGTGACAGTTCATCCTGTATTTCTGTTATTCTCTGCAATGCTGTTTCCAGTCTTCCGCGCCGCAACAGCCGAGTTCAAGCCTGAAGTACGTGACAGTTCATCCTGTATTTCTGTTATTCTCTGCAATGCTGTTTCCAGTCTTCCGCGCCGCAACAGCCGAGTT